CTGTCTGTCTGTCTGTCTGTCTGTACGTACGTAACCTTGGTAAATTTGCTTGCTGAGATTCTCACGAAGTGGAACGTTCAGGTGCCAGCGAGGCGCCGGAGGATGGACGATTTCTACCGTAGAGCTTGAGAGTCAACAAGATGCACTTCAAGTTGTTCAAATTTCCACACATTTTTGTCTTGTACGGCGGAGGATCAAGCGATTTGCGCGAATGTGCGCGATTATGCTGAGCAGTGCATGAAGCTCGGCCGCAGCTTAGCGCAGCAACTACTAGCAGAGCAGCAAAAGCATTGGCATGGGCATTAGTGTATCGACTCATCCAGTGTGCTTTGGAGATCACAACCAGTACTTAGAGACAGGAACCACATATCTGTGATGGTGCGTCTCTTCACTGCAGAGGTTGGGAGCCTGCTGTGATCTCAATATCGTTCATACTTTGCAGCGCTTCAGAGTCATTGGAGGCACCTTTGAGTCCAGAAGGCTGCTATAGCCATTTAGAACTTTGCCAGCTCCAAGCTCAGTGGCAACAGATTGTTTGCAAAAGTATTCAGCCCTAGCCGTTTCTGAGTGGTGAAGTCAAGTTTCCCTAAAAATAAAGGATGGAACCCAAACCCTTCTGCATCTCTACTAGTAGCTCGCCCCACCCAGCTCAATTCCAATTACCTGTGCGTCCTTTGTGGGAAAGGTATTTTGCCTCCTGCGTCTCCGTGCATTCTGTGTAGAACTATTGATGAATATGCACGGAGTTATGAGACCTAGACCCAGCCCTTTGAGGCCTGCACCACGCGCATCCCTGCAGCGTATGGACGAGGCCGGCACATTGGCCCCAAGCTGCAAGTTTTTGCTTCTCCATCATTCCAACATTTCTCAATTCTTTACATCGCTTCCTGTCCAGGATGATAGCGCAAGCCTCAGAGCTCTGGAAAAGGACCAGCACGCCTACAAAGCACTTATCATACTGATGTTTTTTTTCTTCTTGTGATTGGCTAAAGAGGACATTCATGGGATATGTTTTAGTCTGCCATCGTCAATTGTTCCACCAAATTGCAGAAACTTTCCAGAGCGTGCAGATTCACCAGGGTAACGGACGTACAAGGGTGCTTCAGCTGCCAGCAGGTGCCATCTGAAGGGCAAATCTGGTCGAAAGGCCCACAAACTCAACCAACCTGCGACTTCACTTACACATTTTTGGTAGAATCAGAATCATAATCAAAGATTTGGACATAGATCGCTGCATAAAGTTTATCGAACGTTTACTGTAATCAATAGACCCTTCTGTGGGATGAAACTTCTGACCGTGTATAATCGGAACTTTCAAGCTGACTGGTCAGATTCCATATTTTGCAATACTTCCCTAAGAATGAGCTGACTTTTCATGTAAGACGCTTGTCTCTTAAGACTCAAGCATTATTGGTCAATTTTCACATTCGAGATAAGATACTTGCGGTTTGTGCGCCCAGGTCTGACAAACCTCGGTATGACATGAACCGTACGCAATGCAGCGGGTCTAACAATGCCTAATATAGGCTCCAAAGTTCCCAAGGCTCAAGATTTGGGTGCTCAAAAACCAAAGTCTGAAAATTCAAATCTCCGAGCTCAAATGCGCCACGGCTGAATGCATTAGCACTTTACAGCAGAACCAAAGCAAATGGCGAGAACTTGTTCTAGTATCCGGGGTGATGAAGTTGAAAGCACCGGGGCTTCCGCACCCCCCTTGCAGTAAATAAGAGCAACACACATGGAAGCACAAAGCTGCCAATGAGTCCAGGGTTTCCAGACACACACATGACATTTGCCTCTAAAGATTGACAAAACCATT